ACAACTTTTGCTAAAGAGAATGTGGGTTAAGAAGAAAACTCCTCCACTGCTGCTGGAAGTGCAAACTGGCACAGCCTCTTTGAATCATAGTCTGGTGAATTCTCAGAAAATTCCGCAACAAACTACTTTAAAACTCAGCAATACCCCTTTTGGGCCTATATACAAAAGATGCTCAATCATACCGTAAGGACATGTGCTCAACTATGTACACAGCAAAATTACTTATCATAGCCAGAATCTGAAAACAACCCAAAATGCACCTCTTTTATACCAATAATAAATGAGAAGCATCATGCTTCTAAATAGCCATAAATACCATAAACTATCTTGGAGAAACTCTAACCACACAAATGGAAAAAGCTGTATAAGAACTTTAAATCTTTCAAGAAAGAAATTTAAGATATCAGAAAATGGAAAGATCTATTCTCTTGTGAAGATAGAGCCAACATAGCAAGTCTCACTGAAAGCAGTCTACAGATTCAATGCAAATGTCCGTTAAAATTATAGCAAAACTCTTTACAGGCTTTGAAAGAACAATCCTCAACTTTATAAGAAAAGATCTCCGACTTTAAAGCCTCACAACTTCACTACAGAGCCACAGTGCTGAAAACAATCTACCTTGGATACACAAGCCTACAAATAGCAGATTTATGACAAAGAAGCAAAATTGTGAAATGGAAAAGAAACATTTTAACCTGCGTATCCCAGAGGCTACCTTATTTCAAACCTGTCTTTTCTTCCAGTTGAAGTTGCACCACACGGCAAGGGGTAGGACACAGGTGTGCTCTCTAAACACACACTAAATAGAAAGTTTACTACCTTAAATTTTGGGATTTTATTTATCAATTGAATTTCTCTGGAAAAAATTTGTCTTGAAGATTCTATGTTTGGAAATACTTCAATGTCTGGAAAATGATTATGAAGAGATAGGATGATGCAGAGAAAAAACCGAAACTGTCTTGCTCTTTAGCCATTTACTGTCAACCCCTAATCTTTGTGGAGCCAAGATCTTTGTGGACAATTAAATATTAGAGACAATTCAGTAACAAAGGTTGCAAAAGCTACATCTGAGGGAGTGAGTAACCATGGCAACCCTGGCTTCAAGGTTTCTGGTGTATAGGCTGTGTGTGACCTGAGGCCAGGGGCATAGTGCCCCGTGAGACAAGCTTTCGAGGAATTTGCCCAGGGAGTAGGTCTTTATCAACCAAACTTGGCAAAGGAAACTCATATGGCATTTTAGGTTGCTTTGTGCTAATTACCTTGGTCCAGACATCTGTATCGCTGTCTTGGTGCATATCTGCAAAGTTTTTAATTTATGATCTAGCTACAGAGACACTCAGTCTAGTTTGAAATTGTTCTGAGGTTTTAAATCAGCTAAATGTATGTAGCTTGCTTTATACTGAGGGTAAATTGTTGCTTTCTTATGTTAGTCTAAGTAAAGAAGCAAAACTGGTTTCTAAATGTCTTACAGTCTTAATGAAACAATAGATATACTTATGAAGCAGATCCTAGTATATTACTGCTCATCAAAATTATACAGATTAATGAGAAATAATCTTCCTGACTATCCACAGTATATATAGCCCATAAGATTGAGATGTAATCGCAAGGTTACACGTACAAATTACATGAATATATGTGGTAACGGGGAGATTCCACAGCTGTTTTTGCACATGTAAACTTACAGACAGAGGCAGCCAGTTTCCAGAGTCAGTGGTCCCATAACCCTTGGTTGAATGGCGTTCTCTCCAACAGAGAATTATTTAGCTAGTGGGTTGACATCTGAATTATCAATTGTCATCTGCTATATTTGGGTCATGGCCCACAACAGCTTACGAAAATGGGATGTCCACCAAGTAGCACTATGGGAACCTATGTGCTACAGATACGTGAACTTGAGGGACAGGGCTATTCAAGGATGCACAGACAATATAATGAGTAAGTGCAAGATTTTGGGCAGTGAGTTCTAGGACATGAAATTATACTGCTGGGTTTTGGCTTTGCTTTAGTGTGATTGTTCTTTTACTATGTATATTGTCAAACTTCAGTAATGAGAAGCATGTAATTTGTTTCTGAATTTATCAGAGCCCAGAGAGTTTTTGGACTTTTAAAGAACTTTACACCTTTAAAATACTGAAATTTTAAAGATTCGGGTTTTTTTAAGTAGGACTATATTTTTTTGTTATGAGATAAACATGAGACCTTGGGAACAGAACAAGGGGAATGGATATTACAGATTAAAAGTAAAGTGTTTATTTCACAGATTGTAAAGTGATATACTGTGATGATATATTTTAAATAACAATTTACCACAGCCCAGAACCACCTGTGAAGAGAATCTCAATTGAGAGATTATCTAGATCAGTTAATATACGCAAGGGTATGTTAATCCCACAGATAAGAAGGAAAAGACCATTGACCCAAATCATCATGCCCAAATTAATGAAAACAAGCAATTAATTAAAGCAAGTTTTTTTCCAAGTAAATGGGTTGTCTACCCTCAGTGTTGATTGAAAAGTGATCAGCCCTGGACATGGAGAAGATACAGGCTTTGATAGCCCCGCAGGTGGGGGTTTCCTAATGGGGCACATGAAAGACAAATAAGCAGGGTTACAGACACAGACCATAGGCATGCAAAGTTGTTCATAACAGTCTCCTGAAACAAAGATACTATTGCAGATGGCCAAAGCTATATAGTCATAGCAAGGTAGTAACAGCAAGGTAGCCAGGAGATTGTCATCACAAGAAGAACATAGAAGATAGTCATAACAGGTAATCATAACAAAGTGGTCATGGAAAGGTAGTCATAACAATAGATGGTCTGATCTAAAAGGCCACCTTAAAAGCAATCAGCAAGGCCCCATTTATAGGGCCTCCTCTTGTAAGTCATAAAAGCCTTTCTGTGACATCTTTTTTGGTTCTACTGGATCCTGATCTAGGAGTGTGGGTGTATCTGACAAGAACAATAATCCCCTGCTGGGGAAACAAGCATCTGATTTCTTGGGAGTTTTGCATGAACCACCAGGGTTTTGTTCAGACAGCCTTGGGACCCTGGAGAGCCCCTGGTGAAATTGGAAGCTAAGAAATGAGGGAGTCCTGGCACCCGAACACCCATTGGCAGGGTTTCAACACCTAGGCAACACAACAGAGTCAAGAAACACTGAAAATGTTCTGCCATACTGGTATCCAAGAGATTGGATAGGCCCTTTGTGAGACATTGTATATCACTGGTTACATAGAACTGCTGGGGCTTGTGTTATGATTTTAGCCAAACCAGCATGACTGGCACTTCTAGGTTCCAGGGCCAAGCATGTGCGGACAACCCCTCAGACAAAAGTACCTTGCTGCACAAGGGACCTTAAGAGGTCCTGCATGCCCCACGTGCAGCATGGTTGCTTCACCTACGTATGACACAACTATGTAAGCCCTTGCTTGCATGTGTGAGCTCTGTCATCTGTGTATGACATAGGCACGTCATCTCCCTGTGCACATGCACTAAGCAGCCTTTAAAAGCTGGATGCACCATCTTTCAGCTCTCTCTCTGTGCACACTGATCGTCACCAGACCTGTACACGTTTCTTCTAATAAACTCCTAAGCGGGTTTGTTGCATGGTTCGTGCTTCCATCTCACTCACTCCAGGTAATTTCACTGGTGCCGTGAGACGCAGTAGGACCTCCTGCCCCTTTCCTGGGGTTGGGATCCAGAACCGGGTATTTTTTTTTCTTCACAACAACCCCATGTTCCGTCTGCCTGAGCATGATGACCTCTGTGCACACCAGTGGCTTTGGTGGTGAGTTTTCCCCTTCCAGCCCCCAATCACAGCCTTCATGACTACAGTTGAGTCCTTTGCTGACATTCACCTCTGGTAGCTAATGTGACTGGACCACCCAGGGTTAGTCCTCAGCACACACGCTGAGCAGTGTGCTCACCTTGTGGCCCAGAGTCCCTCGCGTTTTTCTTTTTCTGTTTCTTTTCTTTTCTTTTGGATCACTCATCAGTGGTCCTAGCTATGAGAGACCACTCGGAGCGGCCTCTCGCCTCTCTGGCTTCCAAGTCACCTGGACTGGAGCCAATCAGGCTTCAACACCCCACCTGTAGAGAGGAAAAGCCTTCCTATAGGCTTGGTGGTGTCAGCAGTTTCACACCCCACCTATAGAGAGGAGACATCTTTCTGTAAGCCTTGTGATGTTGTCAATCTCACGGGTTTTCACAATTTCAGCTATGGGAAACAAGCCCTCCAAGACCATCAATCTAACCTCCTCCTGGTGTGGCTTTTAGAGGCCCTAAAACCCCAGGCCTTAATGCCCTACTTACAGATTCCCACACTT